CTGACAAGGAATCTGTAACTTTTTCCATCTGGTTGCTGACTTTTAATTTGCCCAGCTATCCCCTTGGGAATTCTAGGAAGATACCACTTTCTCTTCAACTTTCCCTCCATGTCCCAGACGGAAGTGGGGCTAGACTTTGCCAAGTGGCTGTCAGTCCAGTTTGACTATACCAATAATATAGTTGGTTTGTATGTGTTGCAGATATTGTCCCACTAGAAACTTTAATTTATTGGTATTTTATATTAAAATTCCTAGATCAACTTAGAACTTCTCAGGAGTTTTAAAAAATCATTCATTCTGATACTATAGGCTGGTTGAGCTTATGGAACACTGTAGTATTTTCTTCCGCAGTTCTGCTTCTTTCTGAGATACAGTCTCAATTAATTCGTTGTAACAAAAAGAGAACATCAGCCAACCAATGCATTTGAATAAAGAGGAGGAAGGTGTTCTAAGGACAAGGTTTTCATGTATACAGAAGGATGATGGTAAAGTGTGCTTCTGTTGGAGCAGCAGAGAGGAAAAAATAGCAGCAGATCCTACATACTTTGCAATTATCAACCCAGCATAAAACAGTAGCAAGACCAGAGACTTATCATATGACCCATCTCAGAGACGCTTGGTTACATCTTCACTAGTTTCTTGTCTTGGATTGCAGATTTCTCAAGGCAGGCCCAAAATTCTTGCCAAAGAGTTCTCTGTGCACAGTTGAGACCTTTTATTTCAGAAATAAAAATAGCCTTATTCTTAAAATCAATAGTTAATAGCTTTAAATATTACCATAATATTCTGTGAACTAATATTTGTTGAATTGGTTTATTCCCATTTAGAAAGCTTTCAAAAAATCACCTTAAAGTGTTGTTTCAACTTCTTTACTTCTATACACGACATAGATCAGGATGGCTTTGTTGTTGGATTTATAAAAATCTGAAAAAATAGCACATATTACTGCGGATGAGGTTAGATACTGCAAACAAGAGAAAAAACAAGTGCAAATACAAAGCCCAATTAAACTATTGTTTCAGTATATAAGCAATTTTAATGATATCTAATAAACAAGCAAGACCCTTTCTTTACAGCTGAGTTTCTCAAGAGTACAGAAGGCACTTCAATAGCAGTTTATGGAAATTCATTAATCAGGCTTCACCCCATTAGTCTGACTTGCAGTTTGCTTTGCTTTGTTTGCTTTAATGCATAATGTAAGATGAAGCCCTTAACCAGGCTAGAAAGGAAATCATAGTAGTCATTTAAGAAATGGTGTAAGTGTCAAATTCAGTGAGCCATAATTCTACATGCCAAACTGGGCTATCTGCATCTGTTTTGCATGTGCATTACTGAGAAAACTCATTGTACCTATGTGTATTTTATTGCAAGCAGCTATAGCAAGGACTATTGTCTCACCGTCCAAAATAGGTCATTCCACCAACATGAAAATTTGGTTTCTTCTCCAAAAAGCTTGTACTGCAGTTTTCACTAAACACTCAATGACTTTAAAAGATAAGCGCCTTGATAGTTCTTATTTTGAACTGGAAATCAGTATTTGAAACTCTATACAAATCTTGTATAAAGAAATTTCTGCAGTGGATTGCTATGAAAAAACAACTTTAATCCAAAATATTTAACATGGACCCAAACATGACAATCCAAACTACTTGTCAACTAATGTCCATGATGGCTGCTAGAGAAACAAACAGAAAAATTGTCCCATGATATTTATTTTAGATACAAAGAAGCAGAAAAAACACTACGTATATTTAGTATTTTTATTTTCAGCAAAATACTTCTCATTTTACTACAAGCAACTGGATCAAAACATTCATTCTTATCACATTATCATAAACTCAGAAGTTGCTTCAGTAACATAGAAGATAGTTTGAGGTTAGCAGTTTCAAGGAGGGGAGGAATGTCTGCTTTGAAATTACTGCAAAATTGTTAGGAGGGAGAGGAAAGGCACCTTGCAACAGCAAGGAGGAGCAATACTGTTTCAGAATTGTAGGGTATAACTCAAAATGCAAAAAATTGAAGCAAATCCTGAAGCAGCACATTCATGCAGAATATTACAGCAAAAGTGCTTTGCCTTTGTTTGACTGTAGTCATTGCTGTTTCCAAGTGTGAGCCAGTTTGCATTGAACCAGCTCAAATGTTAGTCTAGTGTCACCTATTACTTCATCATCTGAGATTCACATGGGCACAGCTCGTGTATATGTCCTAATGAAAGAGGGTAGGTATTCCACATTTACGTATTACATTTAGTATTTCCAGTGTCTGGTGTGGCCATTATATCTGCTGACTTTTCCCACCTCAAATTTTCGTCTATAGCTGTTTATCCTCCAGATTAAATAAATTATGCTAAAAACCACTCATCATCAACAAAAAGATTATGCAAAGTTGCCTGGGGAATCATTTACTATTGGTAAAATATTCTGCCCCCTTTTGTATAAGGACTTTTTCCAGGATTTTTTTTTAATGTGCAAGTCACCTCAGAAAACTGGAAGTCAAATTCCAATAGCAGTCAGGAAGACATTTTTTACAATGAGGGTGGTGAAACACTGGGACAGCTTGCCCAGAGAGGTGGCAGATGCCCTATCCCTGGAAACATTCAAGGTCAGGTTGGACCGGGCTCTGAGCAACCTGATCTAGTTGAAGATGTCCCTGCTCATTGCTGGGGGCTTGGACTAGATGACCTTCAAAGGTCCCTTCCAACCCAAAAAATCCTATGATTCTATGATTCTCTATCTTATTTGCATTAGGCAACTCCAAAGACAGGAAATAAATCACACAGTTCTGATGCTGTTCTGTGCATGGGTTCTGTGCAAGGAGTTTGAAAGCTAACTATTACAGAATGGAATCTTACAAGACAAGGCACTTTTTAAGGAAAAATGCCTGCTACCATCTTTTTTATTTTCTTTTTATGGAGAGCAGATACAGAAATCTATAAAGGCCTAGCACTGTTAACTGGGTTCTGTTCTGCCTCCTGCAATGTCAATATGTTTGACATTATTATTTTTTAACAATTTATTATTATTATTATTATTATTATTATTATGTCATAAGGAGAAGTCCTTTTGTATAAATGGCTATATGTGGCTCCATCTTAATTGTATTTCTGCAGGTTTTCAAACTAGTTGAAAAGACTACTACAGTTGGGGGCAGGGGTAGAAGGGAGAAGCCATCAGTTCTCCCCTTCCTGCTATTTCCTATTCACTAGGAAAGAAAATTAATCTACTATTAGAGCAGCAATTCACAGTTCTGGTTAATGTGCCACATTGTTCCCATCTCCATAGACCACCAGTACAAACCCCAAAGATTTTGGGAAGGACTGACAATGCTTAAGTGAGCGAGAACAGGCAATGCTTTCAATTCAACAAAATGAGTCAACTCAAAAGTATGCAGTTGAATTCCAGAGAGACAGTCTTCTGGCAGCCTTCCATTGGATCATAAATACACATTCAAGTAAGAGAAAGAGGACATTTAAATAAACACACATAATTGCAAAGATCATGATGCTCATTATAGCACCTGCAAGACAGGAGATGTAGGAGATGTTTGCTGTGATATTTCAATACAATCAGAAATCCACTGGATTCAGCTTCTTCATTATCTGCTTTGTTTATCACAGGGTGATTTGGCTCAAAGTCTAATGCTAGATAATCATCCTTGGTTTCTTAAAAAACAAAGTTTCCGTTACTAGTCCTGTTGGAAGGAAATGTTAAGACCATGGATTGCTTTCCACTTACTTCTGCTATTGGAATGAAACTCCACACTCCTGATAATACAAAAAACCCTGAAATGACAGTCCATTTCTCTGAGAATTTCTCCATTTTTCTTGAAGTGGCCCTAGGCAGATGACAAACTGACAGACTGGCACAGCATCATGCCCGATAGAGAACTGTGTGGGATGACTCAGTTGTTCACTAGATAGTTTTAGACTTTCAGAGAGAGTGCACCAGTTTCTGAACTGCCTCTGCAATAGTTCTTATTCATCTAGCCAACATTTCCTCTCCATTTCTTTCAGTGCTATATTGTAGCTCACTACCCAACCTTGATGGCTCAGTAATAAGTTAGAGAACTATGGTTCAGAATCTTACGCTTCCACAGAAAACAAAAGACCATCTTCAGCTCATTTGGGACACTAATAGCTCTGCTGAAATTTCACACTGCTGAAAGTCGCCTAACCAAGTCATACATGCTCTTATTAGGAAAAGAAGTTCCCACTTCAGATCCTTCAGAATCCTCCCAGGAATAGCAATCACTTCAAAAGCTTAAAGTGCATTCATGTGACACCAAAATAAAACAAACAAACAAAAAACTCACCACCAAAAAACCCTCAAACAAGAAAAACCAAACCAAACCAAAACCAAAACCAAAACCAAAACAGTCCTGCTAAGATAGCAATATTGAAAATACAGCTAAGAGAGACTACCTTTCTTCAGAGGGCAAAATCTGTCAGGCCCTGAATGCCAGCTGAGTAAAGTCCTTTTAATCATCACAGTGTCAGCAACTTACCTTCATTCCTGAGTTTAGTTACAGGGTTTTTTTTTTCCAGTTCTGTACCAAATCATAAAACAGAACTTCAGTCAGCTCTCTTTGCTATGAAAGCATTGGGATTTTGTGTAACTGGAGGAAGAGATTATACTGTATGTAACAGTCTGGGAGAGCTTACTGATCACTTCTTGGTAAATGGATGAAATCCCATTGCTGGCTTCTTTTGCTCTTTCTGTAGGGCATTACAGAGCATAACAGACCACCACAGACCATAGCTCAACAAGCCCACCAGCTTGGTCAAGTATCAGTGCAACAGCAGGGACACTTAAAGGTAGGAGAGAAAAGACTGCATTCGTGTATCATAGCATAGATGCCATGAACTGTTCATGAACTGTTCATGAACTGTTCACCAGCAGAGTTCTTCAAGGCTGATGAATGTGTGCAGCATGCTGGAGTGTGTATGAACAGTTGGAGAAGACAGCAGTTGTGGCAAAACTGATCTGTGTTGTGGAGGCTTCCTAGACATCATAGACCTCCTCTTCCATGGCATGACCAGGCTCTCCACGAAGTTGGTGGAAGGTGTTGCGCCTCAGGATCTCCCAGCCACGGTGAGAACTAGTCCTGGATGTGCTCCGTGACAATGACAGAGAAGACAGTTCCTTCTTGTACAGGATGTTTCCATTGATTTCCAGCTTTTCCAAATCTTTGTCATAGTTATCCTGAGCCTTAAATGCTTCCGTGTACCGCATCATCTTGTGTTTGTTGGGATCAACCCTGTCTTCAACTCTGTAGGAGGATTAAAAAACATAAACTGAATGAAGTAGAAACGTGCCAGTTTATCAACAAAACCAAGCAGCCACAAGAAGCAAGCTCCTCCCAAAAATATGCCTACTGACACACACATTCCAGAAAATCTATGCAGAAACAGGAAACTGATTATAGGCATGGTGCTAGCAGCTGCTAGCACACAATTATCTCCTAGACCTTCACCCCTGTCATTGACCTCATCTGCCTGTGGTTTCCTGTCCTTTAACTCATTTCCCAGTCATGATTTGCCCTTTCCCTTTTGCCAGCTGTAAGCTATTGTCAGACCTACCCCACCTGACTCTAGCTCCGGATCCTTTGTACATATGCATATATTCATCCATTTCCTTTGTTCTTGTCTTTCCTCCTCTGATACTCCATGGTTGCTAGCCTCAGGATGTCACTTATCTTTTGCTGAACTTTTATTTAACTGCTCCACTTCCACCAACCCTTCTCTGTATTACTTATAACTTGTCTTCTGAAATACTATCCCACACTATATACAATGAACATACATGTAATTTGACAGAACTAGATCACACCAACACTCTTTTCTCATAGCATCCAATGAAGAATTGTTGCTGGGGTATTGCTCTTACAAAGTTACATTCTGCACCTTGGACTGAAGGTGTACATATTGGTACCACTTCATGTCTGCTTGTTCTGCTCAGCAAACCTGAAAATCCACAAGGTAAAACCTTCAGAAAGTCCTGTTTCATACAGCCACGCTCCCCCTTCTGGCTTTATCAGCAAAAGATGACACAGGTAGAAAAAACACATGCCCAAAGTTTAATCTTTGCTCACCCTGGTATAAATACTGATTAAAATCAGAAATAATGAGTTTTCTAGACTACAGATAGTTTGTTTGTTATTTCAGTGCCTAAACTGAAATCCTGGACCTAAGACTTTGCCACTTGATGCAGTCTTTGCGAAGTATAATATAATTAGTAGGTTCACACCAGAAAGAAATCTCACCTTTAATTATTCCTGTTCTGGTTTTGAATCATCTGCAGTGCAGTTCATTGCTGCTGAATGCCTATTTGATTGATTCTGCCTCTGCCATTTCATGTGTCTAATAGGTAGGAAGAGCCAACCAAGCACAGCAGTGAAGCTTTGTGATACTCGTTATAAGAAATTTGAAAGAAAAATTCAGGCCTTGTAACCCATGCAATTTCAGGGATCTGTCTCCCTTGACTACGGGGTAAGAAAACATCAGCTGATTTCACAAGGAACTGCACAGCAGAGCTTTCTGAGGGGATCAGTGCTTGTCTATCAATCACAGACAGAAAACATATTGGGGTCTGTATTGTGGAAGGGAAGGACTCCCAACAGTCATCCCCAGGCCACTGGAAAGGCTCCTTATTAATATCCATACACTGGATTCTTCTTCTGGGATCCTTACGTGCACACGCTAGAAGAGAACTCACCTGAGATACCACCGGTCCCCTAGCCCATACTCCCGCCCACAGATTCCAGAGCGAGGCCATAGACACCGTGGCAGTTTCCGCTCCAGCATGACAGTAGTAGCAACAACCTTTAGAATAAAAAAAAAAAAGAAAGAACTTGAATTAGAAAAAAATCAGACTCTCTTTCAAAAGTATCAGTTTCATGAGTACTGACCCATTACCATACTTCATTACAGCTCCATATCTAATGAAGAAAAATCAGAGTCAATACTCCGTTTATTGTAGGACAAGTCACTATTTTAGTCCTAACTGTGCCATGTTTTGAGGAAGCAATGGTGCTCTTAAAACAGTTATACCTTTTATACCTGATGGCAATGAGTTGGGTAATTAATGTGCAAGCTAGAGCAGAGGACAGTATTTATATATCTGCATTAGCTATCACCAGAATTTACCAATGTGGCCACACAACTACATTTAACCATTTGATTTGTTGCTTTCTCACAGAAAAATACTAGGAAATGGATTTCCTGTTGAGCAGCTATATAACTTATCTGGTTGAATTTTTTTGCCTTTTGAGCAAGAGAGTCGGACCAACTTCTCTTAATGGATCTAAAGATGTTACTGACCTACTTGTAATCATTACCTTGCATTCTATCTCCCCTCAGTCAATCCCTATAATTATAACTTAACTCGCAGTTACACAGAAATGTGATTTGTAAAAAAAGATGCAACTTTAATTCTATTTAACAAGAGATTCCATGCATAAGGAACAAATAGCTAAGGAGACACAGGATGGACAAGAAAGGCTGGATGGGGCTTCTAGCTGCTATTTGAAATAAGGTAGGAATACCCGCATAGCGGCTGGTGTACAGAAGCTGTAAAACAGAATTAAAAGGACATGGCTTATTGTATTAGCCCCTGAGAAAAGTGAAGGCCAGGGAAAAGTTTTATAGTACCTCCTTTAGAGCATGGTTGGCAGAGTAAGTAATTGCACTGTCTAGCACATTTTCCCTGAACAACTTTTCCCCTTCTTTATTCAAAGCAAACCACCTAAATTAGATTACCTGGGCTCTCCAGAGCTCATCCTGCTCATGGGCCACTCTCCAGTGGGTGTCACCCATCATGGCAATTAACAAGTTGAGCATAAGGAGGGTGGCAATGATGGCGAAGGCAAAGTATACCACGCTGTACATAAAAGGCAGGTCCACATCGTAGTTTGCAGGGCCATCAATGATAGTAAGGAACAGCTCAAAGGTGGTGAACAAGGACATGGGATAGTTGTAGAATTGCCCAAGGTTTTCAGGGTTCTCTGTCTGGAAGATGATGTAAAAAGCTAGAGGAGAGCAATGGGGGGGAAAAGAGAGAGAGAGTTTAGCAACAGGAATCACATTCCAAGAGCAACAACAGGGTCCCATAAGAAATGCTGACAACACAAAGTGGTTGGGAAGGAGCTGCATGTGTTTCTATGCTAGTGCAGTACCCAGCATAACAAGGACAAATCCCTGACTAGAATCACTGGTCTCCATTATACAATGACTCAGAATGACTTTGATTATTATTTGTTCTCAAAATGAGTGATCTTTTCTTCTTCAAGGATATACTAAAGCTATATGTGTTAATCTCATTTTCCAAAGAAAAACTTCATAAATGCAGTATGTTTTTAAGCCTTGACTTACATATATGTGGAATTATCTGGATAGTCCTAATTTCTATTACCCTGGAAAGAGCAAGAATTGAAAATCAAACTCATGAGAACAGAAATTAGTACTGTAAAGTGGCCATGCTCAAAGAAATAGAAGCTATACCTCATCACCACCTTTGCCAGGTGCAAAGGGCAACCTGAGAATAAATCAAAACCCACGCACTTAATTCATACTAAAGAAGCTGGCAGGGGTAAGATAATGCTGTTTTCCTTTTGGAGACTCACCTGATGCAAAGCCTAGTATCACCACAGCCATGAGCCAGCAAAAGCGCATAAGATCTCCAAATATCATCTGTAGAGCAAAGACAGAGCCACCATAAGGCCCAACTGTCCCACCAAGCCACAATGCAAGCCTATGTAAATGATTTTCCAGATTCTAAGACCATGAGTGGACTAAAGGAAACTTCTGCACTAAAGAGAGAATGTGAAAGTCCCAAACCTTCTGTGCAGACAAGAACTTGTCCATTTGCCATTAATGCTAGTCCTGAGGGAGAAAAAGTATCCTTTCAGGTCTCCCTATCTGCAAAGAGGTGTCAGGATGTGTGTAACAAGCCCATATTTGTTTGTGTCTTATACCTTCTGGATCATGATGGTAAAGGGTCCAAGCATCTGGAAGCCTCGTGCGAAGTACATGACATTGCACCATCCTAGCACCAGGGCAAAGGACATGGGCACCACCTCACCAGTTGTGCTGGTGAGACGCATCACCATGGTCACTAGAATCATGCAAGCATATGTGATGCTGCAAAGGAAGAAGAGACAGTAGAAAAAGTTCAGTAAAGGAATCTTACCCTCCTTTTCTTTTCAAAAATTCCAAGACAGGCACATACAGCCACCAGCCCCATAGGCAGAGACCTCTCAGCACTATCAACTCTATCTGTCCACTTGCCTGGCTTCCTACACACCAGTCGAGCCAGTAAGAGAAGTAAATCAAGAGAAGGAATACTCTAAAAGAATGCAGAAAGTGACTCATCTGGCAAAAGAAAGCAGTGGGGAAAATGAGAGACAACATATTTTTTAGACTTAAAAAGTGATGTACTTACACAATTATGTGAAAAGGTCCTCCTAGGATAGTTTGTCCAAAATATTTTGCTGCTCCAACTCTAAGGATATCTGGGATCTAAGAGAGACATCCTTTTGACTTTAGGACTTAGACGGATTCCATTATACTATTAAATGTCATGGTAACCACCAATATTGGCAAGATCTTGGGACCAGCCGCATCTGCTTTGTGTACTGCTTCACACTTTGATTTCTATATTACTTTAAAAACTGAATGATTGAGTCAGGCAGGCCCCTCTTGGGATGTGACAGAGATTGCTGGAAAATCTAAGAATGCTTGGGCAGATTAAGAGACTTTGGTATGTGGCAGACAGATGTCGCACAGAGCTGTGAACCTGAAGTTCATATAGATTACTGAGAAGAGACCAGACAAACAGCTGAGTCTCAGAAGTGAAGACTAAAAAGACCTTCTTGGGGAATCAAAGGAGTTTGTTATAATTCAGACTGACTGTGTTAGGTGCAGTGTAGCCCCAGAGTCCTGATCAAACAGAGGAAGAAGAACCTGTCCTTCTGGGCAGAGATAAAGCTGTTTACAAGCCCCATTTTACTTCGGTTCACCCTGGCATCGTCATTTGAGTTCTCTCATATAAAAGTTTCAGTCCTCTATTTCATGTTATAATAAAATCAAGTGGAGGATGTATTTGTTTTAATTTAAAGAACTTTTGCTTTTTTTTGAGAGAGAGTTCACGGTAAGGAGAACACCTGAACATGTCCACCTCAGAACTCTGGTTGAGTAAGGTTCCTTTTATAGGCTCATACAGTCATTGATCTCCAATTAAATATAAACTTCTCTGTGTACACACAGAAATCACTTCAGCCAGCACCCCTAAACACATGAGTATTTAGGGGTGCTGGGTGAAGAATCTCTAAGAATCTCATGCAAGAGTTTGGATTCAGCTGGACCACAGATAGTCCTAAAGGGAACTGTGGCATTACCCTGCAGATAGTATTTGATAGCTCAGCCAGTCTTTCTAATTGCTTATTCTACACCTGGAGTCTTACTAGTACGTTGTCACAGTTTGTTTCACCCAATAGATACTGTTGACAGTGTCTATTGTCATAGGTGCATATCAAAGCACTAACTAAGCAAATAACCCCTACCAAGCTGTGAGTGCAAACTCACGTTTGTCTAGTAAGTAAAATCTGTCTTGATTAATCTCGAGACTATACAGCTCACTGTTTCCCTTACCTCAAGGATCAAAATTACTACAGCTCCAATGACTGTGATCAGCTCCCCCACCAGCCTCAGCTCGTCCTCATATGTCATATATGATTCCTGAAGAAAAGAAAGAGTGAAAGGAAATTAAAATTGAATTTTAAAGGGATTGAAAGGAAATTAAAAAAGAGGATGGGGGGAAAGAAGGCCCACTGTCAGTGTAATAAACATGACTAGGCCTGAGAAGGTCACAGGAACCAGCCCAGCCCCAGAAACGGAGAACGGCCCATACTCCTTGTTTCTCACTGACAAAGGTCAGCTGGCAGAAAGCGAGAAGGAGGACAGCTGCAATAGTTGGCAACTGGAGAAGACATGGACTTTCCAGTTAAGTAGGTTAGATTAGAATTGCCCAATGCTGCCTATGGGGCCCTGACTCCTATAGACACAGTACCTGCAGCATTTTCTGGACATAGACTGTATTGTCTCTGCTGCTTGTTTTGTTGCCTGTTCGGGGTTTCAGTGGTCGGTAGACGCAGCACATAGTAAAGCAGACCATGTAAAGTATATAGAATAAAGCCAGGAAACAGAAATAGGGACGACCATACATATTCCACTTCAGGCTGACCAGCTCCTTCACAGGTGTTAGGTCCAAGATCTGGCGTGCCTGCAAAACATAGGAAGAAGGAATTAATTGCCATAAAGACATTTGTTTATAAGCATCGTTCACACTGTTTCCTGGGAGAATGTTAACAAACTATTCTCACCTACTCTATTCAGCATTAGAAAGCTGAATTTATTTTGCAAAAATGGAATGCTCAAGTGGGTTTGGATTTGTTCAGTTTGCCAGTAAAGAGCTTTGAAAAAAAGTAAAAAATACATCCTGCAGAGAACAGGTTTTCAGTACCAGTGGGAAGTGCAAGAGAAGCATGGAATAAGTTTGGAATAGTGGAATAAGTCTGTTGTCTGTGTAGGCCTGGAAGCATATAAACAGTTGAGACAGACCTATGATCTAGGCAAATATATGAGGATGTGTTACATAAAATTAATTAATTAATAATAATATATTTTATTATTATTGTTGTTATTATTTTAAGATATACACATATTAGGCGTGGGCTAACTTTACAGTATCAGAAAGTTTATAAATCCTGTGAACTCTAGGGATTCAAATATGTACAAAACTACTTCAATTCATGAATTGTCTTTTACTGTAACTGGAATCAAGTTTGAAGAACATTTTGTGTTAAGCAAGACAGCACTTTACAGCAGACAGATATTCTCCTCTCTGCAAAATAGACATCATTATTAGAACACAGAACTGAAACTAAGATAATTTGGATTCTATTTTCAGCTACATAAAACAGTTTCTGTGCAACCTTGTGAAATTCACTTAGATTTTTTTCTCCAAATTGGAGTTCTGCAATGTAAGTTAACATTGGTTTCAACACCTATTTCTATCAACTTCAGTAGCATTTGTGGAACCTCTTAATCTCTAGGAAACATATCAAAAGGTCCTTTAGATCATTGGCTGTCTTTGAAAAACTGACACTGATATTACCTTGATTTAGCAGGCAACTAAGAGGACTTTGGAAAGATTTCCAAAGTTCCTTTATTTCTGTCTAAATGCAGCCTGTTAATGGACTGGATGTTCAAAAGTTTTCACCATTCAGCTATGATGACAAAAACTGCAGTATATCTGCAGTGATATACACAGTGGGGGGAAAAAAAAGGCTCTATCAACTTACTTTCTTTAGATTATTTATATTATAGTCAACGTTTGAGTCCTTCTTTTTAGAATCTCAATGGTTCAGCTCAAATATATCTGGAAGACCACATAGATTTCCCAGAATAAACAGAAGCTTCAGTGAGCGTCTTGCATGATACAAAAAATAGTGCTGCTGCGTAAGATGGGGCTGTGTTTCTGTCAAAGATCTGCATATATCCATACATATCATGTAGCTGAGGAATTCTATACAAAAAGAAAGCTTCATCAAAAAAAGTAGACCATAGTTTTAGAAGTGACAGAGAGGCTCTATAAAAAGTAAGAGGAGTGAAATTGTGAGCACTGGAGAGAACAATTGTCTCCTACCATACATTTTGAAATTCCATTTCAAAAGCTAACAGGAAGAATCCAGAAATTTTCTTAAGTGTGTTCATGGTCTATCTGGTTGATTTGCACACATGCATATAAACGACAAAGAAAATACAGTGAGATGATATGGGAAAAAAAATTCAACATCTTTTCCTCTGTTGAACATTGCTAATCTGTGTCTCTGAGTGAATCTATGGATTTGCTGCTGGGATGACAACTATAAAACTTAGAAAGATCAATGTCACTCCACTCTTTTTAACTTTTCCTAGGACAAGATAAGATGAAATACTGTGTACAGTTCTGGTCCCCATTATACAAAAAAGATGTGGATAGGCTGGAGTGGTCCAGAGAAGGGCCACCAAGATGATCAAGGGTCTGGGAAGCCTGCCATATGAGGACAGGCTGAGAGAGCTGGGTTTGTTCAGCCTTGAGAAAAGGAGGCTTAGAGGTGATCTCATCACCATGTACCGGTACTGAAAGGGGAGCTACAAAGATGATGGAGACTCCCTTTTTACAAGGAGTCACATGGTGAGGACAAGGGGTAACGGGTACAAGTTACTCCCAGGGAGATTCCAATTGGACACTAGAGGTAAATTTTTCACAATGAGAACAGTCAACCGTTGGAATAATCCCCCCAGGAAAGTGGTTGACTCCGCTATGCTGAACACATTTAAGACTCAGCTGGACTTGGTGCTAGGGCATCTCATCTAGATTGTGCTAGAAAGGTTGGACCAGATGATCCTTGAGGTCCCTTCCAACCTGGTATTCTATGATTCTATGAAATTGTGGCTACATGAACTACCTAATAAATGTCGTTACTTCTTCCTACAAACTTTGCCTCATCTATGTCCTTAGAGTATCACTGCTACAAGTAACCCCATCACACAACTTTAGGCACCTAAAGGACATATCTTCATTAGTGATGTGGTTATCCTAAGATTTCTCTCCTTGTAGGCAATAGGGTCCTGCAGACTGCCATTGAGCTCACCTAAGGTCTAAATTGCTCTCTGGAGATACTTAGTTACTTGCATTTCTCTATCATCAACCACATGTAAAACTTACGGAATCTCTATTCCTTAATTAAACACCTCCCTTGGTGACGAAAATTAGATAGGATGAATTTAGGCCAAGTGCACTTCTTTAGCTTAATTTGTCCAATATGAACACACAATATTGTGTCAAATAAGTAATCGCTCTCAAGCCCACCCAAAACTAGACACTCTGCTTAGTAAACTCATCTGTGAAGAAAGAATGAACCACATGGGAAAGATGTTAATTTTAGTATGTAATGCACATTGGGATGCATTCAACATCATAGTGACAAGAGCACTATACTGATATGAATAAACTAGAAGAGAGAATATTAGGGTCTTTTCATACTGAGTTAACTTCTTATTGCACTCTAGATATTTTTCTTGTTTTGCTACATTGCCCTGTTTCCTCTAAGTTAGCCGAAGACAGATATCGCAATGTGCAAGGAATATGTATGTTTCAGTAAATGGACATGACTCGTGAATGGCCTAAGAAATATCCTAAAGGATCAAAAGGAAGTGAGAGATAATGAACCTAGCCTTAGGTGTTCTGTTTTGTGTGGAAATCAGTGTTCTAGAATTCTTTGCATAGGAGAGTAAATTTCATTTTCAAAAGGATGAGATATGTTTAGAAGCTTTACTATAATCTTTCTATAGCTTAGTTCTCTTCTATTTTTGCCACTTTTCATCCACTTAAGGGTCAGAAAATATATCTTAGTACCTATTTGTGTATGCATCTCCCTTAATACAAGAGGAACCTCCTTCTGATCGGGGCCTAAAAATGCTACTCTAGTACAATACTGGACTGGGAGGGTATGATAGGATGGGGTGACACATTGCATTCTTTTAGAGGAGACAGCAAACATTTTGGACCAAACATATATCAACTACAAAAAAAGAATTACTATTTATGCATGCAAAAATTGCAATTACTCATATTTAAGAGAATTCCGGAAAATAAAGAAATCATAATATCTGATGGTATTTGAGGACATCTTATCCTCTGAAATTAGGAATCTTGGATTTGCATGCACTATATGTTTTGGGAGAAGACAGAGGCACAATATTATTCTTTTTTTTAGGATCATGGTTTAGTCTTCTGGACAACTTCTAAGGTTCTATTTTTTTAACATCGACTTCTTTCCCTGAATTTCTGTATGTATTGTTCCACACGAAATTTAGAGGATTTTAAATAAAAGCAAATGAGAGTTTTGCAGACTTCCTCCACATTGTGCAAATCTCTCTGGTAGATGAAATGTTGGTTAGAGAAGTTTGACTAAAATTTTGATAGATGGAATTAATACAGGATGGGTAGAATTGTGCTAATTAAAGTGTCTTCTGATTCATTTCCTGTCCTATTAGGATTATTTAAGGTGATTACAACTGATAGGGTAGTGTACTTTCAAAGTCTTAAGCAGATCTGTCTAAGCTTGTCATTACATTCTGCTATTTTTATCTTAGTGATCCCCTTACAAGTTTTTAAGCCTACAGCAGAGATAATTCACCTACTTTGTTTTAAGTCAAAACCTGGACAAGCAATGTCGTTAAATGAAAGGAAGAATATTAATGAGTGGTTTTAAAATACATTCCAGTTCAGGATTTCTGAACATAGTTGTGTCTCACAGGGACATGGTCAGAGTTAATCAGTATCACAGTTATAGAAAGCTACTTGCTAGAGCTACTCTAGAGCTACTTGTTACTGATATCTTTGAGCCTGGTGAAAGAGAGAGAACCCTTTACTGAATCACACAATGTCATTTCCTGTAGCTTGCTCATACTAAGTTCTTTCAATCATCTGCAAGTTTCACACCTCAGAAGAAACTGTGTGTAAAGCATCAGATGTAGCCAGATCATTAAAAAGCTGCTACATTTCATTTATTCCCTGCAGCATGAAGTCCTTGTTCTATGGATAATATAAAAGAGCTTCAACCTTCAAACTCATAATTTTTCTCCTTTTATAATCACCATGGTCTGCACATAGAAAGCATGTGGTCACCACAGTACCTCTCTCTTTTTGGTTGAGACAATGAGCTCAAGGAATGACTGATCTTCAGCCCAGGAGTCAATCTCTGTGAGATCATAGAGCACAGTGGTCAAGGGGCCAAAGGACCAGAGATTGTGCTTCCGCTTCTGCATAAGGTATTGAAACATCTGAGGAGAAAAGAAGGGGGTGGAGGATATCAGAAGCTTTCCATTATATAGTATATTTGCAATGAAAACAAATAAAGTTGTAAAAACCCTTAATGACAATGTATTTTCCTTGCACTTAGTTGTTGGTGTGGTTCTCATATCTCTCAGGAACAATTATAGCAGGTAAAGAAGTGGAAGAACTTTTTCTGACTCCCATTTGATGGGAGTTCATGCTTGAGTTAAAGGATGAGCGATTTTTATTCTAAATTCTAATCAAATTGCTAAAAGTTATTTGACACAGTTATACATCTTGACAGTAGATTTCATATGGAATTATATGTTGATTAGAAAAAACCCCTCTTTTGTACTCTTCTACAGGTTATCAGGAAAGAGGTGTGGCAAGGGAAATGATCCTGTCCTTTGTGGATCTACAGAAGAAACACTAACGATCTTTGTCTTTTTGTTAAGGGGAAGGATGAAAGTTTACATTAAATATTGAGTTCTTGACTATGAATAAATGTCTGTGGATACCTGAAGAAGTTTCCTGTATGCCACATTTAGGGTAATGAAATCTAGACAACAAAGACAATAATTTCAGTCAGACTTTTAAAAAATTACTTGGAGTGGATCTTTCTGTTAATACCTGTTTAACTCAAATGCTTCAAAAATTGGGTCAAAAGATCTATTCTTTAAGCATTCGTTTCTTCCATTAGGATAAAGAAATTTCTTATACTGGTTTTCTGGTCCTACATGAGACTGCTGGCAAAAAAAAAAGAAGGACTTCTTATGTATCTTCTACCCACTAAGAACATGCACAAACTCGCCTGGTCTGGAAGATGTTATTTCAAGTTCTCCATTTCTGAATAACCTCTTTTGTATGGAGGCAACTCTGTCACTTAAACTCACCACAGTGTTGCCCTCAACTCCAGCCAGTTTGAATGGAGTAAGCCCCTCATTGTTAGGAATCAATTCAAGTGATCCTGGTCCCTCTTTGTTCCTGTCATAGGAAAGTATCAGGCTGTACATGTGGCAGGCAAATGTCTTATTAGGTTGGAGAACCAGGATGTGAAGAACAGTGTTACCTATGAAGGAAGCAGACCAGATAAAGTATATGGAATAGCCCAGCCCTGTGCAAAGACTGGCAATTGGCTGATGCCATTAACGGTGGCTTTCATTTTCCTCACATCCCTCATCCCACAGCTGTTTGTAATGAGAGAAAAATATGTGCATGCACAGATGACAGAGTCTGATTTAAAGTGTCCAGATCCACTGTATGCAATTCACTAGGCCCCACAGCACATACCCAGATAGTCTTGAGCTCTAATGTCAGCTCCATTTTCAATGAGCAACTGTACAATTTCCTCATTTCCCACACAGGCAGCAAATGATAAAACATGCTCTCCTGCAGAGAAAGGAATGGGGAGAAACAACATTAAGACCCCAGGAGGCAGGAGAGGTGGAAGCACACTCAGGGAAAGATATCCATGTTATGAAACCAGAGGTTATGAAAGGAAGAATTACTTCAGGTAACCTGTAAATTTCCTGCCCCACTCCTCATCCTACTCAGAAAGGAAAAGAAGACCTGCCCACACAAAATTAAAAAGAAGAAGTATTCTTTTGAGATTATCTTCATAAGGTTGACAAGTAAGTTGCAGTATATACTGCTAGGAAGAAATTAAATTATAATTCTTATTCAACAGATATATTTTTGTACACATGCAAATATATAAAATGTGTATAATTTATATATTTATATTTATGTAGTATTTACATACTCAGATGGAGTCTTGCTGTCTGATAAAAGGCGTATGACTGATGACACTTGGAGACAGGAGACTCTGCCTATCCAGTTTAGATGGGGACTAAAGCAAGCCTCCCTTATATTCCCTCATCACTCTGCTGGTTCCCTCCCATAGCAGCAAGGGAAGAAGATAAGGCTGTACCAAAATAGAGAAGATTCTGGGAACTGCGCCTGAAGAAGTGCCCAGTGGCCTGTGCTGTGCAGGCATTGGCCCCTCTCTTGAGTAAAGCCTTCACCAAAGTGATGTTCTGGTTCACTGCTGCAATGTGGAGAGCTGTCTGCCCTGTAAGACACAGAAATAAAACTTGCCTTCCAAGAAAGCAACTTCAGGTGGATCAGTATCCTGCAGTTCACATTTCATTCATGGTAAATCTGTTTTTTGGAACTGTGTCCATAGTGGCTATATGATTTAGGTCTGAAGTTAACCCTGTTGTGTGCAGAAGGTTGGACTACAGATTTTCAAGAGGTCTCATTCTATTTAAAAATTTTATGAATTCATGAAAACTGACTTTACAACCTGCCAAAAAAACCAACAGGATGCACTTTCTAGATTTTTTCTGGGGGAAAACAAGACATGCCACACTCTTCCAGGAAGCACACTGAGAGTTCATGTTTCTCAGAAAGGACTATGCCTTCTTTCATGGGGCATGAAGGCCAGGTCAAGGCAAAGCTCCTAAAGAAGACTTGCTCTAATCCATCAAACTAGGTGTTAGAATTTTTAAAACCCCATCGTTATTATTTTAGTGGTTTCAGGATTCTGCCTGGCATTTCTGTGTAGTCAATGAGAACCGTTCTTTAAAAACCTGGCTCAGAGTCTAGACTCAAAAGCAGAGGCCACATTTGCTTTCATTCCCTATTCCTTGTCAACCAAAGAACCATTTTTGCTCCTTTCAGAGGAGATCAGGTAGATGTCCCCTTTGTTACATGTGACTATGGCAGAAAGCAAACTGTACATATCCTTGTACTCCCACTATAGCCAACAGGCCCACCAGTGGTTAAGGGTTTGTCAATTACGCGTTTGCATGTTTGCATACATATGTACTTGGGTTTAATATAATTCCACCTTCCACAAATGGTCAGGAGCCATTTGGATGTTGGTTTTGCTATGTAACAGTTTAGCAATATATTGAACCAGGAACAGTATAAGCCACTTTCCTAAACATACAGGTAGTACTTCCTCCCTCCCCCTGCAGACAATCCTGCCCATCCTCATTCCCTCAGATGTTACCTTCATAGAGCTCTGATGTCATCGTCTCATTGACAAGCTCGGGAGCTGCTTCCATCAGAGTCACTGCAGCCTCCACATTACCATACAAGGCAGCTACATGAAGGGCGGTCTCCCCAACTGCACCTAAAAACAGTAGGAGAAGCATGTGAGTCATCTAGACATCCAATTATATGTGACAAAGGCAGAAATGGATTTATTGAGGTAGAGAATTATGGGAGTGCTAGGTCCTCCCTTGAGTACTGCCAGGTGCTGCCTCATCATATGACATGGTAACAGCCACATAACTGCATAGGCTCTGTCCTTCACCCCATCAAAATCTGAAAGCTGAACAGAGACTTCAGGTGTTTGTAAGTGACAGAGCACTTAGGCGTGAAGTAAATGAGCACACAGCCCTTCCACTGACCACCTTCCACAGTAAACCACCTCCCTCAGTCCCTCTAGAAACAAGGCCCATTCAAGCTGTAAACCTCTAATCTTCACCGTTCAATGTTCGATGAGTTCTCCAAGTTAGAAAACTCATTTTGTTGCAAAGCTTCTGACATACAGTTAAGCAGTTTGAGTCTGCTAATGCAAATGTTTTAGCAAACTAACAAACATACTACTCTACTCGTTTTAGCAGGCTCTTGCCTTCCACAGAAAACCATTTGTTGAAAATAATTGACTTACCTCTCTGATAGATATCGCATGTTCCGTCAGTGAGAAGTTTCCTAATGGCTGCTAGGTTGTTCTCTTTGGCAGCCTGGAGGAGTGGGGATTCCCAGATCCTGTAGTCAAGAAAAATTGGCTGATAAGAAACACGGTCAAACACGTGGTGCCTCTCTCCAGAGCTAGCATGGCCTTTGCTTGAGTATGTATCTTTAACGTTTTCACTGAAAGATCGGTAATGCACACCTACCATCTGAGGTATTTTTTGAATGCAAAAAAAAGAAGCGGCTAAAGCAGACAAATGCAGTGCTAAAAACGCAGGTAGTTCATCATCTCTTGACTTGCTGATGCTTAACCATAAGGTGGCAGCAGAGGGAAAGATAGGAGAAGTTAATAACCAACTTCAAAATGTTTCTGGTTTATATAGCCCAGATTTTCAGGCACAGAAGGTAGCGAACGATGGGTTATTTGATACCCCTCCCCTCCTGCCAGTAGACTAGTTATCTCAGGAGTCAGAAAAATCCAGTAGTGTTTTTTTTTTTTACACAGCACAATAAATTAAAAAAGGGTCAGCATCTGAATTACTCCCATAATGGATGGAAAAGAAAAAGTACAAACAAGAATGCCCCCTGTGTCATAGCAATGCTTTCTATGGTATAGTTAAAAGAATGAGCTCTGAAATGTAGTTCCTCATCATACAAAGTTATGAGGAAAAATTTGAAAGCTTAGCCATACTATTTTTTTTCTCTGATGTTGAGAAAATTGAGGAAATTGTTGAGAACTGAAATGTATGCCTGTCCTGGGAAAGAGCATGCCATCAAACAAGTTCCAGACTGAATGGTTCACTTATAGTTGAAGAATGTCCTTGGGTCTCCCATGAGGCTCTGGGTTACTTCGGTAGATCCTTTGGGGCTGATGAAGAATGTACAAGTACAGTCACCAAACTTCACTACAGCAAGGTCCTTTGATGCAAACAGCAGGTCAAGGGAGATGATCCTCCCGCTCTACTCAGCTCTGGTAAGGCCATAGCTAGAGTCCTGTGTCCAGTTCTAGGATCCTCAGTACAAAGGAGCTACTTGACAGAGTTCAGTGAAGGGCCACAAAGATCATTATGGGACTGGAGCATCTCTCATCTGAGGAAAGGCTGAGGGAGCTGGAACTGTTTAGCCTGGAGAGGAGAAGGCTCGGGCGGGGTTCTTATCAATGTGCCTAAGCAACTGAAGGGAGGGTGCAAAGAGTTACCTGCGATACCTGCTTGCTCAGCATCCAAATAAGCTTTGCTAATGTTCAAAATAATGAGTTGGGCACTCAAAAATCACAAAAAATAGAACAAAATCTACTTATCTGGTGTAAATATTTCTGTTATCCTCAAATATTTTCAGATTTATCTTTTAATTCATAAAAAGTGTTTTGGGGTGTGTTTTTTGATTTTTGTTTTTATACAAATAAAGAATTCTAAGTAGCCCAAGTTCAGGAGCTAAATATTTAAGGCCAAGAAAGACCCTCAAACCCAAAGAAACAGCCTACATCTCAAGAATTTTCCATATGAAATAGAAAGACATTCCTCTCTCCAAATAGTTCAGTTTTAAATCTCTGTTCAGATGCAAATTTTGTGCTTTTATCTCACCTCTGCTTTCTTGTAGTGCAGATGTTTAATTTGTTCTTAATTATCTAGCATAGCTCAGGTCAAGCTGTAATGTGTGATGTGGAGTAAGTCTAAGGAACACAGTAGAACAATGACAAATTCAAGCTGATATGAACAAGGAGAACATCATCTCTCATTTTCCTACCAGCCCCAGTCTGTCCTTTTACTACAATCTAACAGCTGTCAATAGACTGGATATTAGTCTCACACACACACAAAAAAAAAAGCATGTGGGAAAAATACATTAGTCAGACCATATACCTGGAGATAGATTCAATGCTTTCTCCTTGTGATGTTCCGGATTTCTTCCTTGCATTCTGGTATTGTTTAGTTACAAGATTTTAGGGATGTAGTTGATAGGGCAAATACTGTATAAATCAATAGGTATTTTGCATTAAGTCATAACACTGATGTTAGAATGCATTATCTATGAACATAACTCTATTGCAAGCCACAAGAAAACCCACATCAGAGAAAGAAAGAAAGAAAGAGAGAATATAAATGGTCCATTGCACAAAATGTTTTCTCAGAACTTGTGCTTATTAGGTATAGGATAATTTGTGCTTATTAGGTATAGGATAATTTAACAATAAAACCATAGGATAACAGGCAACATAAATTCTGTGGCTGAAATATACATTTCTTGCTTTAAATTTTTCTTTTACAAACAACAGAATCTTGAAGCAAAAAAAAAATTATTTGATATGCCATTATCTCTGGATTTAATCCACCTGACATGTGTGAGTTCTGCACACCTTTATAGCAGAAAGATACTGATACACTTGAGAGAACTTGGGGGATAAAGCAAAACAAAGAGAAGTATCAGAATTACACAGACAAATAGGAATCGGTTGAATAAGTGTAAATTAATGGGCACGGGCTACAAGTAATAAAAGCATAAATGAACATTATATTTATCATTCCATAAAAGGAGCACTTCCTGTCACCAACAGCACCCCATTATCTAAGTCACTAGAAACTAGAGTAGAAAAACACTGAAGAACAGAGGAGAAATAAAAACATTCAGAATATAAAGAACTATCCTGAACAAACCAGGGAGCCATCATCAGATATTTTTGTGTGTCCTTCAAACTCTCAGCCTTGCTGCTTTGAGAAGTATTCCTTCTTCAGCTTACTCGTGCGTCAGTTGCATTAGTTGCTAATTACAAGATGATTCGATGCAAACATTGCATCTAGGATCAGACAAATAGGAACAAAATAAAGAGGCACTCTGGGCAAAAGTTGTGAGATTCAATATCAGTGAAGCAAGCTTGCCACCTCTGCCATTATTTTGGCTGAGAAAGACTCTCTGTTCCTGGAGAATGTAAGTTTCAGAGGCAGGAAGTGGGAAGGAGGCAGGGCTCCAATAGTACAAACAATGCTACAATTAATATGTTGATGCTTTACTGGGTAGGCCTTTATCCCTCAAATGACCTCAGAGAGAAGGAAGGATTGGGCAAGAGACAATGTGGGAGGACACAAACACAATACCTTTCTCACAAATTCTCCAAAGCGCTTGTAAACAACTAATTAAATTACAAGCCTGCTAAGAGGGAGACACCTAATAACTACTATACTCAGCTTTCAGAAATTTAGGGCAAAATTGTCAAACCTTTCTACTTATTTTAGGAACCTCCAACTGGGCTTAAAGAACCAGAGATCCCAGGCCAAACAGCAAGCTGTTGAAGAACCCAGAAGCGTTGGGAAATGTAATGGCACACTGCCTCTGGTGCCTCAAAGGTCCATGACTTACATGTTTATACCATATGCTTTTACTCTCATTTCATTTTCTGTCACATAATTGGGGGAACATTTTACTCTCATTTAAAACATACCATTATAATTACCAACTAATTTTTAATACATTACAGCAAAGTGCTGAGCCTATAAATGTCAAATACTAGGTGACCCAAATTCACTAATATAAAAAATAAAACAGTCACTTGAATCTAGAACCTTCAAAACATTTTAATTTCTTTAAGTTCTACATATTTAATCAATTTTCTTCCTGATCAATCAAACGCAGCAGGCATTTTACATTTTACAACTCTAGTTCCTGTGTGTCAAAGCAGAGCAGGTAAAATCTCTAACAGTCTCTTAATAGAGCTACCTACAGTAGATACTTAGTTTCTGTAAAGTACCATTATGTCACTGGATGGAGAGGGTGGCGTTCAGAGAATGATTCAGCAGAGACCTATTTAGACACTCTGAGAAGATAATTCAGCACATCCAAGTTAAACTTCTGTTATAAATCATTCTCTTCATCGGCTGTGGAGCCAAGGGACACTAAGCTCCTAATTTAGCCAGCTAAGTTAGGTTTGTAACAGTAGGCAGTACTGATGTTGCTTTATAGGATCAGTTTAGGATAAGCACAGCTATCCAGTAGTTCTGATCCATAGCTAACCAGTAGTTCTGATGGGCAATGAAAACCACAACAGTATCCACCTGGAAGTGCTCCTGGGTTCTCCTTACTGAGCTAAGCAATGTAGCTGTGTTGAGGCACTTAGTAAGCCTTGATCATGCATTACTATCAGTCAGTTTTCTTAACAGATGCTTCAACGATATGGTCAGGAAGCCGAGAGCTGTTTTTCAATATAGGTGAGGACAAAAATCAGGAACACCCGAAAATCCATTGTGCAACAAAGTGAAGATAGAATGCAGGTCAGATTCTGACTGAGGGAGTCATGTAAAATAGTTTTAAACAAGGTTAAGGATTTCACAAGCACTTTCTGCTGGTAATATATACCCTTTGGGATTTACAGCTTCTTAAGCACTTCTTTTGGAGTGCATCCTGCTCCTTACACGTATGAAGAGATAAAGAATGCAAGGACAAGTCCATAAGTCTTAACTTTGTTATAAAAAGAAGAATTTGGATTTATAGGGTTATTCTTTTAAAACAAGGAAATATGTTAAATATGTGAACTGTCTGGACAAAAAACAATCTGAAGCTTCTTTTTCAAGACTGAGCTGAGAGGTGCAATAGAGCATCTCTTTCTCCTCTTTCCTTCCCTTCTCAGATTCTACTACTTGAGTCATTCACTGTATGGAATTTTCCTATTGTTTGCTCTAGTTTAAGTTTGGCATCTGCTAGCTTCATGCTTTATTCCCACAGCTATGTCAGTGACTGAGGGTCTAAACCAATTCTTTCTAACTGAGCTACAAATACATCAGCAGGATATTATTTCAGCTTTCTTTTCTTTCCCTGTTGTGCTGCTCAGAATAGCCATGCTCAGCACTCCATCATGAAATTGCCAAAGGAGATTCATCTTCTCCCTTCCTTCCACTAGTATGTTTATGTAAATGTGTGCAAGACTTCAGGATAGCAGAGGAGCGCTCAGAGGAAGCTAACCAGCCAGAAAGAGGATCAATGCAATCATCTGACAAGATGCTAAAGAATGACTTAGGAAGTAATAGCACAAAATGAAAAGGAGACAGATAACAGGGGCTTGGACAATCAAGACAGGGACAGGGTTAGCAAATTTCTTCAGCACTGACAGCAAGACTCAGCGAATTAACTGGAACCTCTTGTATGAGTGTGTCGAAAGCCCTTCAGCTGACAGTAAACAGAGCTTCTCTGGAAATAAATTAAACTGGTTACTAATTGCCAATGCTACTAGACAAGAAACTGATAGACTCTAAGTCTTATCCCTTCAGATATTTAGCTGTCTGTCACACTAAGAAATCTTGCTCAGTCACTTCCAGCAGGGCAATGTCTGCATCTGAGACCATCCTAAGAATAATCTCATGCTAGAACTGGATAAACAGTTCAGCAGACATTAGTTATTATTTATTATCACTGAGTTATTCATAAAACAAGTTTGTTCTCTGAAGCATAGCCTCATGCTGTGTCAAAACTTCCAACCCTCTTCAATAGGGATTTTCTTGCAGTTTTATTCTAGGTTGTGTTCCTCACCCCGTGCCTAATTACTTTTCTCTAACAGCTTTTTAATTTGGGGTGGGTTTTTTTCAGAGCACAGATTTCATGTTTACTTCTTCACAAGGAAACCTATAGCCAAGTTTAAGAAGGCAAATAGCTTCCTAAACCTATGAGCCTAAGTCATGTCTCAGACATGGAGGTCAGATGTTTGTATGTTTGTGCATTGTTGGGGAAATGTGAGTCCTGGAGGACCTTTACACTTCTGAAATTAAGCAGGATTGTTTTCCATCATTAGACTCAAAACTTCCATTAGGATGAAGGTGTAACAGCATAAGAAAAGACTAAAAATGCTGCCAGTGGTGCCTTTGACTTTATTTTATATGCAGCAGCAGAGTTTCCAACAGGCTCTTCTTTTCATCTTGACTACTCAGAAGCACGGTTATTGAAACATATTACAAATGAAGTGGTGAACTGGGAGCTAGCATCTTTATATCACTGTCACCTTTGGGAGCAAAGGAACCAATTAATACTGACAGGCATTGTGGATTTTAAGACAGGACAGTCCTATGTTAATTTGTGCACTGAAAACTCAGTAATATTGTTTAGACAAATGAACAGCAAAACTATGGTGACATCTCTCATTCACTACCACTTGAGAAAGACTTGTCTAGAAGCTGAAGGCTCTCTGTGTCCCTGTACAGCTCTTAAGCACCTTGGTTTAATAGTTTTAGGCTGAGCTACTTTTTATTTGTGCCATGTTTTTTTTCAGAGTAAGCAAAGCACTTCACTAATATGTCTGTGAGACTAAAGAGCCACAAAATAATTGGCAGCTAAAGGGAATATAAAGTTTTTATTGCAATGTTTGGAATGACCACAGCTCTCTGCAAGTTATGCAAATTGTCCCAAGCACCTCTAATGCATTATTTCTCATAGCACAGATTTCTATAGTTAATTAATGTGTAAAAATGTTTTGGTTTGGTTTGTTTGTTTGTTTGTTTGTTTGTTTGTTTGTTTGTTTTTTAAAATGTACTACACAAGTTAAATGTTTTCTTGTCATTAGAATAACTAAGCCTCAGAGCATCCCACAAAGGCCAGGTGATACCACTAATCCCTAAACTGCAGCTGTGAGAGAGAAGAGACACACAGAAGATAGATTATTTGTCAGTCAAAGTTATAGAGGCAGGCAATAGCAGAAAGAAAAATATAACATAATTGTCCTGGATCCATGTACTCACTTGCTTTAACTTATTTATTAGTTATTTTTTATGAACAGTGCAATTCTCCTATGTTGGAATTTCTAAAATTACATGCTAGGGAGATTTTGTTCACATTTCCTTAGAACCTCTTACACTGAAAGCCAGACTAAAAAAAATAAATCAAGCAATGGCTCTCATAATTTCTGGAAGATCTATTAGACTATGACAGGCACGTGATTCCTCTTCACCTCTATTACGCCTGCACTTTCATAAGTATTTATCTCTTTGTTCCCCGTGATTATGAACTATGTTGGGTTTTTATGTTCATATGTTCTAGGCTATGCAGATCCCAGAGTTCACTTCCAAAGGTAATTCTAGAAGGACATATGAGATATGACTACTGTCCCTGGGACTCCAAACTGAGCTGCAGGCTGTTTAAAAGGGAGAGTCTTGAACAGAAAGAAAACAGCAGAGTAAGGCAAAATAAACTCAAAGTCCTTTTTAATATTAGGAGATTGTATCACATTTCCTGAACTTGGATATCCCTTTGAGAGATGTTAGACAGTGCAGGATTAAGCCAAAGAAAACTCTCACTGTGAATAATGCTGAGATCAACCGCCAAAAAGATTCAAAGAACTATTACACAGGAAGAAAGAGAATGAACAGCAATTCCAGTGAAGGTGAGAACTACAGAACAGTTAGCTTTCAGGTATTATCATCCCCAGTTGTAGGATAGGAAAAAGCATTGTTCTTCTCTCTGTACACAGTCAGAGCATACTAGTTAAATAGTAACATATTTACCACAGGCTTTCAACAAGATAATAGTAGAATTTAATTGCTGCTTATTACTGTATGTATTCCAGCACCATTAACACTACGAAGAACTCAAGGTGAAGCCACAACACTGCAATTCCACACAACAAAATGACAGGATGAATTAAAAACCCTCTTGGCTTACAACAGTTTTTCCACAACAGCAAGGTTTTATGAGAGTAATTCCTATACACAAGTCACCACAGAAAGTTTTACTGTTGTGTTTTTCTGTCTGTACACAACTAAGAATATGAAAGCAATAAACCTGATTCCAGTCCTCTGCAAAATGTTCATTTTCTTTCTCCTCAAACTCTGAGCATCTCTGAGGACAAGAAAGGAAAGGAAAGAGTAGGATAAGAGGGAGAAACGGTCCTGTCCCTCATTAGCAAAAGAGTATCCCGATATTGGCACCATGTAATTTCTGACCAAATAGCAGAAGGCTAATTTATGTTAGTTGAAAGCTGTGGGAAACATACAGACCCAAAATGGAAGGGAACAACTGTGTCCCCATGCAACTCTGATTTCACAGGCAATGACATCATATGCACTACATGTGTTGTTACGCAGGTTTATAAAGAAACACAGAAATGGTAGTTTTGGGGACCACTAGGGTTGCACTGTAGTGATCTAAGAGAAGTTTATGAAGAAGGGTTTATATGCCTAACAGTTTTTCCATTTTCCTCTGTCAGTAGCAACACACAGGATGTTCATGGGCCTGCAGCACATGACTGATGAGGATTGTCAAGCAAAGAGAAGGTTGAATGGCAATCTAATAGCAGACTATGTGAAAGGGGCCAACAACAACAACAAAAAGGGACCAAACCCTCCTTGGGAACAGCAGATAATAAAACAAGGGGCTACACCATCAAATGATGATTTTGGAGATTTAGGTTGCACATTAGGAAAAAAACCTTTTTCACTAAGAGATTACTACAACACTGTAACAGGTACCTAAAGATATGGTGGAATCTCTGTCCTGGGAGGCTTTCAAGACTGAGCTAGACAAAGCCAAAGCAACGTGATCTGTTGCTGGCAATAATCCAGCTTCAAGTGAGAGGTTAGATAGAGACCTCCAGAGATCACTTCCACATCTCTATGACTTAAAAATGTGAAGATAATGTTATAATTATAAAAATATTGATATATTTAGACTTTTCTTTTGCAAACATTCATTTGGCTATTACAGAATCTGCTGAGAACTAGTTTTTCAGTTACCTGTGATGCTTTTCATGAACATACCAAAATGTAAACACTTCAACATTCTATGGAAGCACTATTGTTCCCACTGTCCCTCCTGTTTTAAGTATATTTAAGTGCTACTGCTCTGAAGTAAAATAGAACAGGCTTTTGTTATTTGATCAGAAGATAGATGATGATATACATAAGTTCTTTCC